TATATAATATATATGTATATATATATATATGTATATATATATATATGTGTGTGTGTGTCTGTGTCTGTGTGTGCGTGTTTGTGTGCGTGTATATATATATGTGTGTCTGTGTGTGTATCTATGTATCTATGTAGGTATATATATACACGTAGCAGCCCATATTGGTCATTTGTGCCACCCGGATATGCATTATTTGCTTATTTATGCCAAAATACGTATTTAATCTATTTGTACGTATGGTAATTGTAGCAAGCACACGTTCACAAACAGGTGTATCTTCATAGCTACATTTCTGTATGCACAAACTGTCTGTTTATCTATTTGTGTTCATGCTCATTGCACAGCACTCTATAAACCCTAAACAAGTATATATGTGTCCGGTATTTCCTTCTTTTTGTTTTCCCGTTTATCTAGAATCTTGCCACGTCTGTTCTTCTCGCCTTGCAAATCTACGCACTGAATGGTATGTATATCTCATTGAGATCGATAGCTTCATCAGTACAACCATCACATCATGTTTACAATTGAGATTGTCTCGTGAAGCTTCACAACATCTACCCAGCGCAGTAGTTCTCAGTAGTTCTCTTGTCCGCAACAGTGTGTATGTTATGTGATGTCTCCCTTGTAGATTCACTCACACAAACATGACCAAACCTTCCATTCTCAGAATGTTCTGATATTTGCTCGCCACTATACTATATATATCGGCTTTCTCGCTGCCAATTTATTCAAATGTTTTTGGCCTATACTTCAGAATGTGGTTGGTCCTCTGCTGCTGCGAACGTCCAAGTTGATTCAGAATCGCGGAGGTGTGGTCATTAAAGTCGAGAACTTTGGACAGCAGGAACTGCCACACAGAGCACGCAGACATATGGAGTACTTCACGCACGCACGGTAGGTAGAAATCGTCAGCCGGGTGAATCGCAACATACATAGTCTTGCATACGTGTATGTGGGTTTCAGCGTCTGTTGCTCGTGTATAGAAAAATTAGCAGCCATTTGTACATATACATGCTACAGGTATATGCACGATATTTAAGTATGCATACATGCACACATGCATATCCATCTTAAAGCATCCGTGTATGGCTACTTTGATGCGTGTTACGGCGGTGTGTAGTGTGCTTTCAATGACAGTGGTGATTGTGGTTGGTAGTTGTCCTGACCTTCGCCACTATCTACATCCTCCCTACTTTCTCGCCACGGGTTTCCTTTCATTGGTATACCTGGTCGGTATCACATATCTGCATGTTCTCAATCTTTCGTTGTTTGTTGAGTAGCGTTAAAAAATGTGTCAAGGATTTTAGTTTAGTCCATCACTCGACAATCTGAGTATATCATCTGTATGCTGAATACCCCCACCATACTGAAACTCTTCTAGTCTGTGGATGTTCGCTTGTATATGCCAACTTCAGGCGTCAACATATACACAGTCGTGTTTTGTTGTGCACTTGATAGATATATTTTAATAGCACTTGTTTAATGACTCGCGTACCTCGCACTATATTTTTGTCTCGCAGAGGACGCCTGCACTCGTGTGGCATGCACAGTTTTGATAATCTGCGCTTGTCACAGTACATTCATGTCCGCAATAAGTGAAATAGAAGGATCGCTCTGCGACGTCGTTTGTAATCGCAGTACGGGAGTGACCTTGTTGCTATGCATGTGATGCCTAAAGAACAAATGGTGGACCATGTATATTAGTGCTTTGAAATTGAGTGAGCTAGACTTTCTTAGGGTCATATCCCTGTGCCGTATATTTATAGTCTCTTCGAGGTACTTATAATACTGATTGGTTATTTGTGTCACAGGCGCTTGGGACTACAGTTCACAGTTGGTACAGAGTTCATCAAAAGTCTCCAGTCAGCTCTCGCGGCCAACACGGATGTAATCCGCTACACATTCATTAAGAACTCTCCTGTACACAAGCACGAGAAGAAGATGTTCCATCGATGCAAGAATCTCGACCGAGCGAAACGAATGGAGCTTCTGCAGAAATCGAAAGATGCGTAGGCTCCCTTGTATTTGGAATAGTTTCCGAGATATTCAGGGCGCCCGTAGGCCTTCGATTGATGATTAATAAATGTACAAGTTCACTGGTGTTGGAGTGGTACTAGACGACAGTTTAGTTTAGATGACTTCATAGGTAGCTTTGACTGTGCGAACATCAATCGTACTTTTGTTAAAAAGTATTCGAAACATGGCTTATCGTGACATACATGTTCGATGCACAGATATGACTTTGTCTCTCGCACATATTTTTGCTTAGACTTTTCCTATCTAAATATATCAATCAATAATATTTGATACTCTGACGCCGTGTTTTGAGTAGAGGATTCGTTTATTTTGAGGCTTCCTACCTGAGTTGCAACCATGCAGGCGAAAGATATATATGTGTTTAGTTTAGATGACTTCAAAGGTAGCTTTGGCTGTGCATACTTTTGTTGAAAGTTAAAATCTATTCGAAACCTTGCTTATCGAGACATCACCGATGCACAGATATGACGATTTCTCGCGTAAATTTTTGCTTGGGCTTTCCCTATCGAAACATCTCAACATTGTACAATTATGGCTAATAGTAATGGTCTGATGCCGTGTTGAGTGAAGAAGTATTTTCATTTTGAGGCTTCCTACCTGAGTTGCAACCTTGCAAGCGGAAGATACACATATAGGTACAGAATTACACCAGTGCGTGTCTATATCTGCTAGTAATGCTGTAGTTGGCCAATCCCCCTCCCCCCCCCCCCCCCCCCGGACACGAATTAGTGCTAGGAGCTCAAACTATGTGTTAAAAAGTAGACTACGTAGGACTTAGCAGATATTACGCAATGTGACTCTTTAAACAGTACTTTGATCAGGAGTGGCTGCCACACCACAATAGAAGCACTACATCAGACCAGATACTTCAAATGGTCCAATAAACACGTGAGGATTTATTTTTTTAAGTCGGTAACACACATTATTCGAAATTTTGCATGCGCGCCCGGTAAAATATATCCAAAGGATGGCAATGCGAGTGATTATATCCACACATGAATTGTTTAATGCTTATTTGTTACTCATCTTAATTGAAATGAAAATGAAAGAGGCCAGCCACAGCATAATTATAGAAGCATTTTAAACCTAACCTATGCGTGAATAGTAATGGTTACAGGTACTACTTGTCTCAAATGAGATGACCTGATAGTGTTCCCACTATGATTAATCCAGTTCACAGAATGCACGAAAGCGCTGGCTATAATTTCAACTTCGTATGTACAACTACACGTGTTTATAGCGCTATGTATCGACCAGAGCAAAATTTTATACCATTGCATATCGGTATATATTTGCCTACCACGATATTGGCGACTACTTTGCGATTATTCACGAACTAACTGTCGAGACTATTATATTCAATTTAGGTGTATTGGAATTGACAAATCGGATAACTTTTAAAGATCGAAATAGCATGCGAGCTGTGCATCGTGAATACCAGCTAAAGGTGACGGTAGCTGGGAAAGAGAACGGGTCGAACCTTCGTCATGATCAAATAAACGTGATATCCAACGAGCGTATGCGATCTGCTTTGCACTTTGCTTTCTCCCATGAAAAGAAAATTCACTATCAGCCCAACATTTTCCACTTCAAGAAGCTGCTTGGTTATTCCAATACCAATTTGGTCTTCAAAGCTGATTAAACTTTTCAAATGAACACTTTCCGAATTCATCATTTTATGTAGCATACAATTCCAACCAATCAATGTAGCAAACACAATTATTCGGCTTGTGCCTGCACGTCATCTGGATTCAGACTTGTCCAGAACTTTCAAGATCAAATTGCAACCTGGAGTCTGCACTGATATGTGTAGATATGTCAATACAGACGACCTTCAGAGAATGAGGTTTGAACACAAACAGATTGGGTGTGTACCCAACGAAAGTGCAAGGTTCGAGAAGGAAAGAAAAATGTCATACAAACTACAATACTGTTGAAGTGAAGATCGCGAAACGATGAGCTTTCGACATCTTTAGTTCTAGAAATCGTTAATGAAATGTTGGGCTAATGTCACATTACGAGAGTTGACAATCGAGTTTCTACTTGTGCTATTTTTAAGGTAAACTTCACAACATTCATTCGTACTGAAGCTTTCTATTATCCACAACTGAAGCGAGGTCAAATAGTGTGTAGAATGACAAGAACCAATTTGCTGCACAAATACGGTACCTTCGAAAAATCCAAATAAGGGAATGTATGAAAGATTTCATTGAAATTTAATAAGAGATACTCTGTGGTAAATGTGTAATCGGCGGTAAAGCATAAAGAATGATGAGAACGATACGGCGATCACTTCGGTGGCCGCTCGAAACATTATTTGACGCATGGGAGAATAAAGGTGTATTCTACCAAAACCAGAAAAAAAAATAGTGCTTGCCCTCTAAGAGTGCACCTTATTTTAGTCTATAATTGATACGATCGTCGAGGTATTTGTTGGCTTGAAAATGGAAACAGGATAATATTTAAAGTAGTATTAACGCACAATTAGTATCATCAGTTTCCAAACAACTCGGAGTCAACAGCTCAGTACCCCGGAATTTACTGCCAAAGATGAACCGATAATGATACTCTGCCAGATGTCATACCAGTAAAGGATCAATCTACACCGCATACACTTATGTATGGGTACACATGTAAATATGTATACCAACCCTCAGTAAAGGGAAAATAGAGACACTTATTATGCATCTTTATGTATTAACAAGTACAGGATGACATTTTATGGCACTTATGCATGTGTATTCGGACTCGCTATCGATTTTTATACCAAGCCGTCTGCTGAGGTCCTATCGCCTAGTAGCTTGGGGGATGCTGCATACTCTTGGTATATACGATAGTAAATTTTTTTCCTGTGTCAGAGTAGGCGAGAGTAAAAGTCGGCTTGTGGGCATTTAATCGTACAAACACAATATATTTCCGAATGAATCTTTCTTTGATGCGACTAGTTGGTAGTGTACATACTATAATGCCTGTAATGATAAGTTAAGTTCAAAATTGAGCGTTCCGTACAGTTATCCAATTGATGTGATGTGTATGTGGATCGATCAAAATTGCTGCTTAAATAAGTATAAAACTAAATTTGTCCTTCGCCTGTCGGCATCCGAATGGCAACTACTTATAGATTTTTTTGGGATATTGAACTTTTCGGAGACTGTGGCGTGTAGTCAGATAGCTAAATTTTGTTGGCGAACGCATTCACAGTTTTCTACTGTATAAAACTGAGGCCTCTATTATTGAGTTGCTTCAAGAGTTCGTCAAACTCCCACGCCAATATATTAGCTTGTGCAGATATGCCAGCGGCCACGCTACGTCCCGAACTCTACTTAAATTTTGTCTCTATCGTCATACCCTCCAGAGGGTCCATCAGGTACGCAATAAGTCTATGAATAACTTCCCTCTTTCACAATTTAATTTTGAGGGCATTTATGGAATAAACATACTATATTTCATTGTGTATGGGTATTTTACCTCTTCAATACATCATGCCAAATAAACAGCGGTGATGTGATCGTTGACTTCACTTTCACCACCCTAAATTTCATAATCTTCTCATCGTCAGCTGCATGTCTACATACATTCTTCCTCGCTTTTTGCTTCTCATCAATCAGATTACTACTTCTAAACACACTATTTCGTAATATAAATATTAAATCAAACATTTTTTTGTACAAGTTCAAGCATATCTCACTCCATGCCATTTGAATATATATGTCGCTATTGCTGTTGCACTCATTCTCGTTCCAAACTTACCGTTTATATCTGTACCTTACTGTAATCGTTTCCTGGTTCTTAAAAAAAAGGTAAAATACATTTATCTGTGGACGATTTTGTGCGTATTCCTGCCACATATCTTGCAAAAATTGTGCAACAGTTTGCAGGAGGCTTCCGTGTCCACACTAGCTCTGTATTGTGCTTTTTGCCCTGCTCTTATGTGAAATGTTTTCATCACATGAGATCAATAATTGTCGTCATCTGTTGTCTAACACATGTATACCGTTCACATTTGCTGCTGGTTTGTATAATTGATAAGCTGCTCCTCGTTTATATCACGTCCGCTCGAGACATTTTAAAGAAGCATGGACCATAACATATGTACGTACAAGTAACTGCTTGTACATGTGCTGTGTTTGTTATTTTTCAAATCAATAGTATCAAATGTGTACATATATGTATATTCTTAATACGCCGTCTAGTGTGCCATTTTCAGAAAACTTATAGACAAGAAGTAGCGCGTGAATTATGTTCGTATAATTGTACATTTCTTGCTAAGGCAGTGCTACAGGTTGCAGGAGGTGTTCATGTTCACTCTGACTCTGTTTGATGCACTCTCTTTGTAACATGCCTTGGTGTGAAACTTTCCCATCGCATGTGATCAACTATTGCCGCTACCTGTTGTCTAACTCGCAGATGCTATTCACATCTGCTACTGTTTTTGTAGTCTTGGCAGGCGACTCTTCGTTTGACTCACGTCCGCTCGTGGCGTTATAGTGAAGCACAAACGCTATCACATGTACGTACTAGAAACAGTTCATATACGAGCTGTATTTTTTATTTTACATATAAACAACACAATGTATATCGATATTGTGAAGTAATCAGAATATTTTATTTGTATTGTTGTTTTGTAACGGCACCATAAATCGTGAGACTCGCCACAACATCCTCCGGACCTTTACTGAGGCCTCCACGCTTATTCGTAGCATAAAGAGAAACGTGAGTGAGTATTTTCCCACTGGTCGTAATGTAAGAGCAATACTGCACAACAGAAAGGCGGTCTAACACATTCAGATGTATTACGACTTCTGAGATTTCTGTCCTAAAACAATCACAACTATTTTGTATCACATCTTCTCTCATAAACTCGGTCCTGTATTTGTTATAAACCAACGCCCATTGTAAAATGGATTCTTGTTTGCTACAAAAATCCGATTGGCCCTAGAAATTACTAAAGGCTGAATTCCAGTACTGAGCCATTACCACGACTGTGGCCCTTTGAAAGTTATCAAAATCCCAAAGTCTGTATATGCTGATAGTTTTATTCTTCTATAATATTATAATGGCCTAATATCCGATTGCGCGATTGAATTCGCATTTCTAAGCCTGTTGTCACGTATATGTTGGAATAAGAGCTGAAATTAGTTACACGGAATCATTGTATCCTAAAATAGTGAGATTTTATCTTTAATAGTGCAAATTCAAATGTACTTGATACTCGATCCACTATGTAGCATCACAGTACTAGAAAATATTCCAGAATCCGAATCTACAGGATTCCCAATACCTGAGAATCGGTTCTGAACCCAAATACTAAATTCCTGAAGCCATCAGGACTTCGTGAAAGGAGCATTCAAGTGAAAACCCGAGTCTGTGGATTGGCAAATACAGGTCACAAACAAAGACTCCGTTCACTTTCCTCAGACTAGGACTTATCCTAGCTGATAGAAGCTTACTTGAGGAGAAGACTATTGTTTCCTTTTGTCGTACCCTTCTAACTACTTCCTTACACTCTATATCACGTTTTGAATATATTTTTGTGTTGATGAATCTTAGATGATTCATTGTGCAAATTGTCTATTCACGTCGTGTTCCGTTCGCATTATTTATTTTTCCACTGCCACCATCACACGACCATATATAATTGACCTGGCATAATTGTTGATACATCAGAACGTTTCTGACGAGGTAAATTTTCGGTAATATTCACATCGCAAACCATACAATCATTACTTGTATTAAGTCATATGCTGGGCTCATATCACCTTGCCTTCCTCCTTAAATACACATATTTCTATTCGAGCCTTTGACATACATTTTGAAAGCGCCATCATGCTCCTCCTTACTCGTAAATCCCTCCCCTTACATACAACCAAATCTCCATCCCTGAAAAAACCATGTAGAGCCGCATTCCAGTGATGAAGAAGGTATTTTTCAGTGTATTACAGTAATAATTCGTCTTTGTTTTTACTCAAAAACTGAAATGCTTGATTTTCCCGAGACTCGTATCACTTTCCCCCCTTGACGATGGTTTTACATGCCGTGCATATATATCCGATAATGAAACGCGGTATATGAGCCTCTTTCTTGTACCAGGACGTTATCGTATACTGCTGAAGGCGTCTATCGGTCGATATGGCGATATGTTGGTAAGGTGAACCCTCAACCGTTATTTCCCTACAGGATTTTCCACACGCCTGGTAGCTCCACACGCTTTCCGTTTAATGTGAGATACCCAGTACAACAACGCACACGACAATACACACTATACATTCCAAGTTCGTGTACGTAAGTACATTGATCGTCGTCTATTGCACGTACTTTCATTCTATCTATATGAACGAAACACCTCGTGTACGTTCACATACACATTTTACGCTTGGTCACTACATATCTCCATTGATTTGGATTTAATTTTTATTTTTACGCACCTTCGTGATCGACTGTCCATCTTCAGCTCGTTTACCCGTAGGTACATGTTTAGGTACGAAGTATCAACGTCACTGATTCTTTTCCCAGTCAAAAACGACTTGATCGGACAAGTATTAGTAACGTTTATATGTTCCATATGTAAACTGCCGTACGAGTTTAGCAAGTAATCGGAATATCTGAAATTCAATCGTGAATTATTAAAGTAAAGATTATCTGTTAGCTTATAGACTCGAATCAATTATAGTATTTAAGCTATATAATTAAGAGTGAGGCTTTAGCAGGTGTCATCAATGAACGGGTGGAACAGGAAATGGCAATCAAACAAGGTAGACTCTCTTAATTGAGGAGTATATACATGTTTATCTATTTTTAATTGAAAACTCGCGCAGCAACCGGGTCATAGAACTCAAATACTTGGGGCATGATCAATTGGATCGAATGTGGTATTAAGCAAACCCTTTTTCATCACACTAGGCAAAATAAGCAGGTAGATCTAATCAATTCCTTTATTGGAACCTAGTGCATAGCAACAATGTCCCAGTACTGTGAAGTTGAGCACTAACAAACAGGTAAAACACGACTGCATCACCTTCAATATACCAATACGCAGTTTTGAGGATCTAGAAAAGTTTAAGCGAACACGTATGTGAAGTGTTAAAGATGTATAAGTAATACAACCAGTAGTTTATACGACGATATCATCAAATAACCAGTACATTACACTACATGTCATTTGACATATAGAGGCACTTGAGCACACATAGTAGGACATCGTCTGAATAATCGAATTTGATTTGTCATTCGTATCATGTGATGTTGGCTACTGTACTAGAACGTTCCAATCTACATTAAACTCGTATATACTAACCAACTACCACAAACCCGTAGGGATGTCGATAGTACTGATTGAGTATGATAAGGTTGTGCACAGTTGCGATGCATACTACATGATACGTGTACATGAGCATATTATTAATCAATGCTTTGATACACTTGTAAAGTCCCAGCCATGATAGAACTCTTTACAATCAAATATAGCTGCACTGATTTATCAGTGGATACGACCTAGTGTTTTATAGTTTACAGTTTTGATCGAATATCACCTGCATTTTTGTTTTGTTTTGCAGTACGATAGCTTTTCTTTAATCTTATCATCAGTCGGGAATTCGTCAGGGAAAGTATCATTATCGTACACAATGAGCTTTCATATCTGGTAATAGTGGCCTGTCACTTTAACGTAATGTTCTCGTTCACTAGTTTCATAATGTACGCCTGACATACCTTAAGAAACTTTACCGTGACCCTACGCACTGTCGTTTTTTCGGAATGGAAACTTTACTACGAGCTAATGCAGCTACTTCCTCCTATACACGCTTCTTTTCCTTCATTATATATCGTTTGCGTTAAATCTGCACTCTTTTAGCCTGCATCATTGATGATATCATAGTGATTATGTCCATTTCGGGAGCGAATAGAGCTTTGGATACTTTTGCCTCAGTTGCGCCAGCATAGAGCCAGACTGCATCGTACGTGACGGATCTATCTCACATTCTTCGAATATCTCTTTGATGTCTATGGCTTCTCTATTAATGGTCGATGCATATTAATGTCGTCTAGCTCAACCCTGTGTTAATTTAGGAGGACGATGGTTTTTGATGAGCACTATCTCCGGGAAGGCCTCACTACCAATACGTACAATAGCTGTATGTGAAGATATAAGTGTTGTAGCAGATCATACTGCAGTAGCTGATCTATCATTGCGGTTGGCTACCCCAGTGTATTTTACTGCACGTTTCTTGTGTATGTGGTCAGGAGAACTAAGTATACTTCCGAGCTTAGATTGCTTCAGAACATAAACATTAAAATGTCGTTTACTTCCTCGGACAGCATCACCTGGACTATATCCCACAAGTTTGTGTTCAGCTATACCTTCGTTAAAGACGAGTTCATTATCAAGGCCTACTTCAATATAACACGGCATCGCTTGCTGTATCAGCATACACTAGGTTGCTATCATCATCTGCATACATTTCATTGCTGCCCTCCATAAGATCATATAATTGTTCACCTGACTAATTCGATGCACCTTCCAATGTATAAATCACCAATACCAGCTGCTGCACCTTCACTGCCAGCTCCATTACCGCGGCTAATACCTATACTTTCATTACCAGTGGTGCCATCGGTAACTGCACAAGAATCGTCATTAATAGCACCACCACCAATACTATCATTCCCACTCACGTCATCGTTTTGTTTCTTAAGTGCGCTTGCTCCCTCAGCTGTACCTTCATTTATCATTTCGAATTTTTCATCATACAGCGCCCGTCGCCGACGCCAGAGTGGGCAAAGGCTCGGAAATACACCTTTGTATCACTATCTATTTTTTTGTTCAAATTGAGCACGTCACTTCCTGTTAGTCCTGCTGGATAACACCCAGTACATTCAAAAACGAAATCATTAGCACCTGCAAAATGCTTATTATATCTCTCCACAAGCATTTTCGTTCGTTCCGAAAAAATTGCTCACGCTCACGGGTTGATTGTATCTAATTATTTAGTTCTTGTACCAGCTAAGGCTTGAACTTGTAACCATTACACCCACCCTGCTTTACAATAGCCGTGGGATCGAGGTATTAAAGCGTAAGCCAATGCAGGTGTATCAATGTCATCATAACATATTGCATGATAATTTAGCTGCTGTTTGATAAATGTCTGTGCAAGGTCAATTAATGTTGACAGACTGTCCGATCTGTTTGCTCCTCAGCAAAGTCATCTACCATATTCTGCATAGTGTCCACAACATCATGAATCAAGAAACCAGTTACATAGTCGACTGCGTTGACTAATCATGTGATGGCAAGCAAGAATTTCATGAAGCTAGCCTTGTTTATATATTTAACCTGTGGAACTGAAACTATTTAGTCATTGTACAAAACTTGGGCGGGCTTTCTTCGAGTCAGTGCAAGAAGTGTGATTACTTCATCCACTCCTATTCTTAAACCTTTAGTATCCCAAGAAATTAAACATACATTATCACCTGAGAGAATGAACTTGATAGCAGACTCTTGGTCTACTTCACGAAACCGTGTTCTGCCATATTTTTTAGTATTCAAGTACTCGCCCTTAGCCCTTTGGTTGTAATCCGCGTACCCGGCATCCTGCGAACGACCTGACAAAAGTAAGCTCATCGTTCTATTTCATCGTTTTTGTCTCGCTCTTGGAAAGTTCCTTCACTAGTATGGCTCGTGCGATGCGTTCATGTATTGAATTCTTAGAAGCCTCGTTGTATATTCATTCAGTGGCACTTTTACCTTAGAATCACCAACAAGACCCCAGAAGGTAATAATAAAACGCCATTATTGATCGATTTAGCTACATCACCCATAAGGGCGTCTGAATTTGCAGGCAATACTATATTTACAATGTACCAGGATGCTCTTTCTGTGTGCATATACATCCCTTGCTGTAGATGCCTTTCCTGCTAGTGTAATCGCTTCCCTTGCACACAAAACAATTGCAAAACGGGATCGTTTAGGAGAAGCGCGTGTAAACGCGGCTCGTTCAAATTCCCCTGTAACTCTACTCCCATGTGGACGGCCTCGCTTTCGTCCTAATACTATACCATCACAGACACACTTGCATCGTTTGCACGAGCTATCGCAAATCGCGCATCGTCCACGTTTGTCTTTGCATTCGTATAGTTCACAAGTGTCCTGCGGTGCACAGACGCAATCCGTCATATTGCTGAACAAGTCAAATCTACCTATTGAGATGCATCAGTCATTGCTAAGTCATTACACCATTTGCGGACATGATCACACGTTGAACGCCTTCTATGCTACTATAGATCTCGGATATGAAGGCAAACTCTTAATTATGCATGTTTGTCACCTCTACACCTTCTATATACACAAATAACAGCGTGTTATCGTCATATTACACCTCCCTCGAACTGTTCTACCCTGTGTCAGTCATATAGCTTGTAACTCGTGAACTAAGCATAATACGGATATGGTGTAGAAACAAGGATTGATGGCAGCTACATGCTTAAAACGTTCCAAGTGAGAAAATAAAATTCCGCTTGATTCCGCATTTGTTCTGATCTGCCCTGCCCCCAAGAATAAGACCGAATTAGTACGCGATTCGTCAGTTAAAATAATTAATTATTTACATGCATTACTGATTTTAGTTTAAGTAGCATACTGCTTTCTCTCTCACTCTTTCACCACGATAGTACACTGCATTCGTTAAATTCTTTGAAAGCCCAGTTATGCAACCAGTAAAATAGATTTTACGTTGATTCTCACCGAGCTTGATCCTAAATTCTGATATTTTTTACGGTTGATATATGCCCCCCTTCCATTGATGCGTGCTGTTAATACTCTCGAAACCGCAAGAAGGTCCTTGACGAATTGAGGGTGGGGAGATTAGCCGACAAATAGTTGTGTGACAACGATCTGTCATCCACAGTTGGTACCGATGTATTCAATGAATCGAAGGCGACACGAATCGACATAGGGTCGCAT